AGCTCAGCAGTCGTTTCCCAAAGGCTGTGCTGCGACAGTGCGGCCAGTCTATCGGCCGTGGGTCCTGGAGCTGGGCCCTGTCAGGGTGTGGGTCCCGGTGCTGGGTCACATCAGGGCGTGGGCTTTTAGGAGCGGAGACTGTGGTTGGTGGACACTGGGGGTTGCTGACGGGGCCACATAGGAGTTTCCTGTCCTGGCGCGAGCAGCTCTGCACGTGGCAGACACGCCGGCTTGGGAAGCGTTGCCCTCTCAGTCCTCCCTGAGACCGTTAGACTGGCATTGAGTGCAGGCTAGTGAGGGCCACGCTGTGACGAGGCCCTTCGTGTGCTCTGCCCGGTGGCTCTGAACTGTGGGGTCACCAGTCTGGCTGGTTTCTGGCCCCATGTGGGCACCGGGCACTGGTCAGGGGGCTCCTCCCCGGCCCTGGGTGTGGGCACTGGTCAGGGGGCTCCTCCCCAGCCCTGGGTGTGGCGCCGGGTGGTGGCACTGGGTGGCTCCCCTGCCTTCTCCAGCTCTGGGGGCCGCCTGCATGCCTGGCCCCTCCCTCCGTCTCCAAGGCAGCAGGTAGCATTTCCAAATCTCTCCCGACTCTGCCCTCCTGACTCCCTCTCATTTCGGGGACTGTGTGATCGCCGTGGGCGCCCCAGGGCACCCAGCGTCTCCCCATCCCGGCCAGCGGTTCGCACCTCAGTTCCCTGGATGTGGACGATTTGGGGGCACCAGTCCGTGGACAGTGCACGGGGCCGCCATGTGGGAAACGTAAAGTCTAATTTCATGTCGTGGACACAATACATTCTGGATGGATTAACAAGCAAACCTTTAGAAGCTCCAGAGTTAGAAGGTGAGGAGGAAGAGAGGTCCTGGAAACGAGCTGCCTGCCCGCGGGGGCCTCCGCGAGATGGCCTGTTGGTCAGCGGGACGCAGTAACGGTCAGCGTGAGAGTGACCTTGGACGTCACTGCGGACAGCGTTGCAGGGATGGGTGTTGAGAGGCAGCAGGCTCCGAAGGGCGTGGGCCTGCTCGCCGGGCGGCGTCCCTGCCCCTCGGGATTCTCCGCTGCCGCGTGGGGTGGGTCACGGACCTAAACACGAGAATCAGAACTTGTGGAGCCGCAGGGAAAGTCGGAGCGTGTTGGTATGGCCTTGAGGTCAGGAAGGCAGGCAAAGCGCAAGCCGAAAGGAGAGGCGTGAGGGCTGTGATTGTTAAATGTGAATATTCTGCGTGCGGAGACGCATCCACACAGCGAACAGGCAGCCCTGGGACTGAGGGGCGACACACAGCCACGGACATGAATTGGCAGATGGAGATTAGGAAGCAGGAAGAGGATACAAAGAGCTGCTGCCGATCAATACGAGGGAGACAGACAACCGAAGAGAAAAGTGGGCCAAGGATGCGAGGTCGCAGAGGATTCAGTGAGCATTGTCCTCCTCGTCCTGCCGCTGCTGTCATCCCCTGGCTGGCAGCACCCGTGGGCAGCGGCCATGGTCAGACCCTTCCAACCACAGTCCGTTAACCCCACACCCACAGGCCTGGAGACCAGACGCCCAGCGGGGCAGCCGCGAGCAGTGTGTCTCCACGGGGATGCTTCTGACCCCAGCCCCCGGGGTCACACCTGGGCACGGAGCCGCCCAGGGAAGTGGCTTCCACCTGAGACAGCTCCGTGTGGGTGTGGCTTCTGCCCGTTACACTCGCCATTCAGAGGAGCCTGAGGGGGTTTTCTCAGGGGGACCCCCTGCCCCTCCCCATCCATCCCGCAGATCCTCCTGGGAGTCTGTGACGGGCCAGGCTTTAGAGAGACAATGAATGAACAAGTCACACAGGTGTAGGTAGCGGGAGGAATCAGGTTTCCTCGGGCGGATGGTGAAGGCGGGACGCTGCGTGTGGGGCTGGCCCCCAGGGCGTGCTCTCCTCCCTGCGGTGCTGCCGCGAGCGTGACACGGCTCCACACACCCGTCTCGTGAGAAAGGGGAGTGTGACTTGCGGGGACCTTGATGTGCTTGGCCTGTGTCAGGAGCTCTATGTCCAGCTCCATCCACGGGAGGGGTGCGCCTGTGCCGAGGTCAGCTGGCCAGGCCAGGCCAGGGAGGAGGCGGGGCTTGTGTGCCGATGACCTGCTGTGGCTACTCATCTTGGCTGCTCTGTCGGGAGAGCCACGGAGACATGGAAGCGACTGTGCCTGTGTTCCAGTCCACCTTGAGTTACAAGCGCAGGCTGTGGGCTGGACTCGAGCGCAGTCACAGCATGCAGATCGCTGACCGGCAGCGTCCTTTTGGTCATGTCTTTATCGGGTACAAGGGACGCAGACTCGGCTCAAAGTAGCTCGAACGAGGGAGGGACTTTATGGGCTCGTGTGATAGGAAAACCCGGAGGTGGAGCTGATGTGAGGCATGGCTGTTCGTGGGGACTCTGTGTGATTGTCCCCGTCTGTCCCTCTCCCACAGCCTGTCCCCTCGCCCTCCAGCTGCCCGTGCTGGCTTCTCCCAGGAAGGGCGTCTCCACGCGGTGGCCTGGGAGCGCCACGCTTCTCCTGGCCGAGGCGTTGCTCTGCCTGGTGTGGGCGCACCGAGCTGCAGGCTGCCGTCCGGGTGCAGAGCTGCTGGGCCCACGCTGTGGGGTCCACGCTGTGGGGGTCCACGCTGTGGGGGTCCATGCTGTGGGGTCCACGCTGTGGGGTCCACGCTGTGGTTCCGTACCAGGAGCCGGCTCGGGGGGCTGGGAGGATGGGAGTCGGACTCAGCAGACATGTGGCAGCGTCACCTGCTTTCCAGAGACCGTTGGGGACAGCAGACCGGCGTGGAGGGAACCTGGTCTCTGGTTCATCTAATTGGGATTTATCGCTGCCTTCCAACCGCTGCACACGCCGCCCTCACCCGGTTCCGAGCGTTTGAAGACACGGCCTCCCGAGACCCAGTGGAACCGACTTAAACATCCATTGCGGTTGCGTCTGATGGAAACTTTTCTGACTCCAGTATTTTACCAGCGTCTATGGGCCCTGTGGAAGCCTTAATGACGTGCGGCTGTCACTTTAAGTGAGGTGCTCGGGCTTCCTGTTGTGAATTATCCTTTTTATTTCATCCATAAATGACACGGAGCAGGGCCCATTCATCAGCCTCAGGAAAGCCTGCCGGCAGCCACTAGAGGGCGCTCCGTCCCCACTTTTCCTGCCTCGGAACTTCCCTGACCCACATTTTGCTTTCGAATGTTCTGCTGGTGTCGGACTCCTTGTGTTCCCTTCATCGATGTAGAACAGCCACGTGGAGGGGGTCATTGAAAATACGTCCCTCCAGCAGGCAGCGTCCTTCTCCGTCCAGGAAAGCGAGCCAGTGGGAGCGGGGAGGGAGCGAGCGTAGCTTTAAAGGGGCCTGAGGCCGTTTGCTGGCGAGTGGCAGTGAGCCTTCTGCGCGGCCCTGCAAGTGACCTCAGCCTGGGGCGCCCCAGATCCTTAGCCCCGCCCACGCTCTGAGCTCCCCCAGCGTGGGGACCCCAGCCCACTCCCTTGGTCTCTTCCTGGGTGTTGCTCACCCCCGTCCTGTGCTCAGAGTCGGGGGGGGGGGGGGTGACTTTCATTAGGAACGAGGCCTCGGATGGGTTTGCCTGGTAAACGCTGAGTGTCTGGATCGTAACCACTGATTAGTTCCCGACTTCCAAGGCCTGCCGAGGGCAGCTGTTTTCACAACCTTCCTTTGTGTCATAGCGACTGTCTCTAGCAGTGATGCCCCTCCCTTCCCCGGCCTTTGGGGGCAGCTGCTGTCCCCTGTCCTGTGACATCGCCAGAGCCATCCCCGCCTTGGTCTGAGCTGCTGCAAGAACTAAGCCACGGGTGTCCTCCTCAACGGCTCTGCATTTACTGAGCCTTCAGTCACACAAAGCAGGATCTGGGCCCCTCGGCAGCACTTCCTTCCGCGGAAGGGGCCCCCAGGAGGGCCCCGCCCGCTGACTCTGTCTCTTCAGCCCCATCCCCACCACACAGAGAAGAAGAAGAGAGGATGGCAGTGATATAGGCAGACCTGTCACAGGTCATGTCCCGGAGAAATAGAGTAACCACCTGAGACTAGAGCCCCACCCCCGAATTGCCGATTTATTCACCAGAGAGACAGTCTGCGGCCGGCCACCCCAGCGTTTGCAGAGAAGGGTGCTGCGCTCCGCCTCCGCAGCTGGAGGGGTTCTCCGAGCAGACCCTGCGCATGTCACTCACCTGCACTGTTTCTGTACTTTCAGGGCCGCCCCTCAAAGCGCCGTCCAGTGAGTGTTGGCTCTTGCCCGGTGGATGCGCCCATGACTGCAGGTGCCCTCCAGGCAGACGCAGGGCGGGGGCGGGGCGCCGGGGGACAGCAGGGCTGGCAGCGCACCTGCTCGCCTTTGCCGAGAGGAGGCTGCGCCTCCAGCAGCCACACTAAGGCTGGAGCCTCGGCTCTGTGGACAGCGGTTTCAGGCGGGAGAGTGACGGAGTGGACAGCGTCAGGGAAAAGGAGTCCTCAGACGTGGCTGCACTCGCCGAGCCGGAAGGGAGCTTCTCCTTCGTCTCAGGCCGCAGTGGCTCCGTCCGCACAGCTCAGCGTGGCCTGGGCCCTGGTTTCGTCCCTCCTGTCGGGGCACCGCAGCTTCCCGGCCCTCGGCCCTTGAGCCGCCCACCACGCTGCAGGCAGAGGGTCGTCTCCGCGTCCCTGACCTGTGTTTACCTGAAGTCGGGCCTGCGGTGGCCCTGCCGCCTGACGTCACCCAGGAAGGAGCCCGTGTGGCGCGGCAGAGGCACCGGAGGCAGCGCTGTGCGTGGGGCCTCCTCCTCGGTGTGAGCCGAGCGCAGCCCTGGTGCAGCCAGGAGCGTGTTCAGGGCTCTCGGGACAGACAGACGCTGCGCAGGGCGCGTGGGGCTCCCTCTCGGCTCTGACGTGCTCGGCAGCCGCTCCTGCCGACCCAGCGCCGCCTCCCCTTTCCATGTGCACGCCCTCCCCGCCCCCCTGACCTTGACTCCCGGGCTGCCCTTTCTGGGCGCTTGTGCGGCCTGATGGACCCTGTGTCCAGCGGTGCGGCCGCAGACCTGTGCACGCCCAGCTGTCACTGCACGTGTTGCCCGTCGTCTCTGGCGGAAGTGGGGCTTCCCAGTCGGACAGTCATCCTGGCTGTGGGGGGCGCGGAGGGGTTGACGCGAGGGCTCTTGGGGGACACGTGTTCTCTGGGCGTGGCCGTGTGGTTTGAGAAGTGACTTCACTGCCCACGACACGGGACGTAAAGCCGGTGTGAAGCGAGGGATGTTGTGGTTTTGGTGCGTTTTCCTCGGTCCGCGCCTCCCTGGGACGGATTGGGGCTTCGTGCCCTTGGGTCACCAGTGGGCTAAGGCCAGCAGTGGCTTTTCTGGGCGCTGTTTACTCGCTGGGAAGATGAGGTTGCGTACGTTTTCGGGTAAAGATTTGCCTTAGAGAACACAGGGCGGGTACTGCTGGGAGAACCGGAGGCTTCAATGCCCAACGCCCCGCAGGCTCAGCCTTCACTCCGAGGGCTCAGTGGACTCCGTGGAGGGCGGGCTCCCGGGGGCCGGGCCCTCTTACCAGGGAGAATGGTGCCATCTCATTACCGAGATCCGCCTGCGGATCTGTCTCCCTTTAGGGCAGAACAAAGGAGGCTCCCTGTGCTGGCTGCTCCGGCTCCCTCTGCTGCGGGGCGCGGTGGGGCGGGGCTGCCGGCAGAGCTCCAGATGGTCTGGGAGGGAGAGGCCGCTGCTTCGAGGACGGTGGCCCCGGCCGAACCCCATCTGTGTTTTGCTTCTGCTGAAGCGCATTTTCCTGGGAAGCCGACTCGACTCCCTCAGCGATGCTCTGACTCCCACCCCAGTGAGCGAATCTTGGAACCGGAGGCTCCTCGGCTGCAGTGTCCCGGGGAGTGGGCCTCTGAACGGGGCTTGTTAGAGGGAGTGGGCAGCCGGCCAGCGGGGCCCAGGGCTGAGCATCGACCTAGGAACCGGGAGGTCAGGGTTCGACTCCTGGTCAGGGCACTTGCCCGGGTTGTGGGCTCGATCCATGATTCTCTCCCATCATTGACGTTTCCCTCTCCCTCCCTCTCCCTAACTCTCTCTGAAATCAATAAAAATAAAAAGAACGGTGCTGAGGGAGCTCTCTCTGCGCCCCTGGCTGTCCCTGCCCCCCACTCCCATCAGCCCGGCCCCTCAGCCTGGGCGCACCGCCTGCCCCCTCTGGGTGGGTTCTGGAGCAGCTGGGAGGGGCTGTGGTGGGCGGCCTGGGCGCACAGCAGGGCGGTCTGGGTGGCGCTTCGTGTGCTCAGTTCCTCCTGAGGGACAGAGGCTGTGTTGCTGTTGGTTTTGTTCGGTGACTGAGAGCGTCCAGGGAGGCGCGGGCATGCTCTGTGGAGTGCGCGGCCCCTCCCGTCACGGCCCCGCGGTGAGGCTGGCTGGTCAGCAGGTCCCGAGGCCTGCCCTGCGCCGTGGGTCCCGGGGACTCGGGGCTGCAGGGAAAGGGGGGGCTCATTGGCTCACGCACGTTCATGACGCTGCCTGTTCCCCGGCTCAGGCGTGGCTGTGTGGGGACTTCGGCAGCAGAGGCCACAGGAGAGGCAGGGCGAGGCCAGGGCGGTGGTCAGAGCCACAGGAGGCAGGGCTAGGCCACCATGGGTGGGCTGTGACTTCAGGGTCCAGGCTGTCCTGAGGCCAGTGGGGGTGGTGGTCACGTGAAGTGGACAGAGTCTGGTGTCTGAAGGGAACTGTGGTGAGCGAGGCAGGGTGTGGCCCTAAGGGCTGGAGAAGGGCCATGGCCCTCGGGGAATCCACGCGCGTCACCCTGGCAGGCGAAGGCGTGCAACACGTGTGAAAGGACTGAGAGGCCACAGATGTCCAGCGCACAGCAGCGCCCAGGGCTCCCTGCAGGGCCAGGGCCCGGGGCTGCTCGGCCTCAACTTCCCCCACGGCTTGGGGACGGGGCGGGAGCCGCACAGGCCAGCAGCAGCCTGCCCCTCCGACCACCGTGCGGGACAGTGCTCGGCCGGCGCTCAGCCTGGGGTCCTCAAGGTCAAAGGACACTCTCAGCACCTCCTAGGGGGAGCGCGTGAGGGCTGGCCTGGACTCTTCCTGGTGCTCACAGGCCCACCCACCCGCGAGTGGGGCTCTGCGGCCGGTCTGTGCTTAGCGGGCAGTCGGGAGGCGGGGCCTGCATCGCCAGCGCTGAGGGCAGCAGCAGCCGGAGCTCGGGGTTCGTTCTCCGAGGCAGTGATGGGAGGAGCCCCGCTGTGTGTGCTCCGCGCGCCCACGTCTTCTAAACTGCTGAGCGTGGGGATGGCCTGGTCACTGCTGCCCAACCCCAGTGGCACTGGGTACCCCCGAGGGAGACGTTCAGGCCCTGAGGGGTTGGGGCTCCGGGTGCCCTGGGCCCCGCCGAGGCTGACGGCTCCCTCCGGTCCTGTGCTTCCTCCCAGGCCCGCCAGTGCCGCCGCCCCTGGGGCTCGCCGCCTCCCAGGACTCGCCGGTGGGACCAGGGGTAAGTCCAGAACCTGCTGCCACAGCTCCGGGTGCCGAAGCGTCTCTGCATCTTTAGGGACAGTCGATGCCCCTGTGCTTTCTGGGGCTGGGAAGGGGCTGGGCGCGGAGGGGAGGGGCCGCCTGCTGCGTGGGGTGGCCGGGGTCCCGTCTCCCTCCTGCCCGTCTGTGCAGCGGCTGCCAGGGTGGCTTCTGGGCCCTGTCAGGGACCCTCCGTTGGCATCACAGGACTCTCTCCCTTTGAAACAAGTGGTCTCCCCGACAGTGTCTGAGGGTTGAGAATGGTCAGGACTGAACAGCCTTTGCTTTCTCCCCGAGACGCCGAGGTGTGGTCTTCACCCCTCCTCTGCCCACCGCCCTGCCGGGAGAGGGCCCGCAGTGCCCGCTGCCCAGGGAGCCCGGCCGCGCAGTGCTGGGGAGATGGGCACAGCCTAGCATGTCGGCGGCTGCCTGTCGGAGGGCAGACCTGGCTGTGGGTGGGCCTGTCCATGGGCGGGCCTGTCCGTGGTAGGTGCCTGCGTGGCAGCAGGGCTCTGGCTTGCTTGGTCTTCGTGTGATTTTGAACAAGGTCAGAGTTGGCTTGTCCACCCGGTGGCTCCCTCTGGCAGCATCACCTGGAAGTGACTTTCTAGAAAAGTCGAATAATTTGGGATCAAAGGCCGTCCCTGGGGAGCAGGCTGGATGTGTCACATGCAGCTTGGAACCTGGGTGGGAAGTGATGTTGTGTTTTCCCTGCGGCCGTCCCAGCACTGTCCCTCCAGCACGTCCACGTTGCCCGGGCACTCCGGGACCACGGGGCAGCCTTCTCACTCCCAGGGAAGCTCTCTATTCCCTGACTATGCTGCCGGGTCCCCCCCAGCCACACGCACCCTCACCCATGCCTGGGCACCTCGTCATGCCCTTGTCCGCCTGCGCCAGCACGCCCATGGCCCGTGGCCCGTGGCCCGTGGCCCGTGGCCAGCTGTCCCTGCTGATGAAACGCCCGTTCCAGGGCGGGAGGCGGCCGGGTGCCGGGTGCTGAGCCCTTTCCGTGGACTTCCATGTAACGCCCCTGACAGTCCTGCGATGCAGGTGCCACGATCACCCCATCTTACAGATGAGGAGACTGAGGGAGATAGTAGGTTGACCTGCCCACGGTCCACACGGTGACGAAGTGACAGAGGGGGGAGTCCGTCCGTCCCCAGCGGGTCTGTCTCCCAGAGCCCCGCCGGCCCGTTCACGTCAGAGGAGCACGGGGGTCAGAACCGGAAGGGCCTTGGCGACGGTCACCCCCGGGGGCAGAGGGGAACCCAGAGAGGACCCAGCCGCCCACGCGCGAGAACCTGGCGTCCCCGGCCCTTCCTCCCCTCCACCTGCTTGTCCTTGTTGCTGCGTTTATTCAGATACTAGGGGCCAGGAGAGGTCACAGAACTCTCTCTCTCTCGATAATTCTAAGGACATTGGAACAGCTGGGGGTCCAGAGCAGCTGCTGAGCGGAGGCTGCGGGCCTCACCGCCTTCTGTGGTCGCCCGGAGCCTCCTTCCCAGCGCCCACGAGGTCACTGAGTGGCTGGTCTCACCAGCTCTCTTCCCTCCAGCTGTCCCTGTCCCAGCTCGCAGCCTCCCCACCGTCCCCCACTCGTTGCCGCTCGGCCAAGCCCTCTTCCCAGCAGCCCGCCAGCTCCGAGCCCTCGGGGGCCCAGGCGGTAAGTGTGCCCCATTCCTCCCGGGTGGTGGCTCCTGACATGGGGAAGGCGATTTGCCAGCATGCTGGCCCCTGGCTGGGTGACCGGGCCATCCCGGGTTCTCTGGGACACGGGGTGACCGGGCCATGGTGGGTTCCCTGGGACACGGGGTGACCAGGCCATGGTGGGTTCCCTGGGACATGGGGTGACTGGGCATCGTGTTCCCTGGGACATGGGGTGACTGGGCATCGTGTTCCCTGGGACACGGGCATGGGGCCGTCTGTACCTCAGGATTCGCACCGTGAGCGTTGGGCCTGGACCTGCCAGCGCTCGGTTGAGGCCTTGCTCTGTGGAGAAGCAGCGGGAAGCCGCCTGGGTCTCTGGGCGCAGGAGGGAGAGGGATGAAGAGAGAGGCTCCCAGCGCAGCAGAGGGAGGGCCGGTGAGGCCCCGCCCGCCCCTCCGCGGCAGCCGTGGCCTAGAAGAGCCCTGTCCTTTCATCCTGTGTCACCTGGGGACCCACACGGAGTTGGCTCTCAAAGTGGCCGGTTCCCCTGCAAACTGTGTCCCAGTCTTGCCTGCAAGTCTGTGAGGAAAACAGTCTGTGTAATTACCTGTGTGACGGCGTGGTGCCCTGTTCTAAGCACAGTGCAGGGCCAGGGTGGGACCAGGGCGGGGTCACGGTTGTCTGGGGCACATGGTGTCCCTCTGAACTGAGACCGACTGACCGCCTGGGAGCAGGCTTGGCGGAGGGCGTCCTGGGTCCCGCAGGCCTTTCCCTTGGACAGGCGTCATGCTCTGGAGGGAAGTGGCCGGCGGTGCGAGTGGCGTGGGGACGGGAACGTGTCTGTGCACCGGCCAGGCCCGTGTTGAAGGAGGTTGCGTGTCTTGCCCGTAAACGCGGTTTGGTGTGAACGAGCCTTCTCGGGCAGCACGTCTCTCCCAGGGCACTGAGTTCATAAAATCAGCAATTCCTGCCTCGCTGCTTTTACCCTCACACAGAATCCAGGACGCCCCGATAAATTCGAACTCCAGATAAAACATAACTTTGTGGTCTAAGCCTGTCCCAGATGTTCCATGGGACACGCACTACAGTTCCTCATTGTCCGCCTGAGGTTAAAGGCCGCCGAGCCTCCTGTGTTTCTATCTGCTGATGCTCCCGGGGGGCAGCCGCTCAGGGATGGGGCCCTAGACCAAGCCTCCTGGGCCTGACCTGGGCCTCCTCCCGTCAGCAGGAGCTCCCCCTGGAGGGCGGGATCGCGCACCTGGAAGCTGACCTGAGCCCCACGCCCGTGGTCCCGGGAACCTGTGTCGCCGAGCAGTTGCAGGAGCTGCCCTTCACCCCCGTGCACGCCCCCATCGTCGTGGGGGCCCAGGCCCGGAGGTGAGGGGTGGCTCGGGAGGGACTCGGCAGACAAGTGCATGGAGACCGCGTGGCCCTCTGAACCCAGGCCATCGGGCGCCCTTCCCCGAGGCCGCTGAGCGTCTGTGTGTTCCAGCTCCGGAGGCAGGCTCTCGCGGGCCTGCATGGCGCTCCTGCAGGCCGCCGGCTTCCCCGAGATCCTGGACGCCAGCCAGCAGCCGGTGGAGGCCGTCAGCCCGGCGGACCCCGTGAAGTTCAGCCTGCAGAGGGAGGAAGCCGACCGTCTCCGGGGCAACGAGGTGGTGCTGCAGTTCCTTGCCTTCAGCAGGTGCGCTCTCTGACTGCCTGCTGCTCTGGCCCTGGCTTGTGCACTTCGTGCATCGAGCAGAAACCTGTGTGGTCCGAGCGGGCAGACCTGTGCTCAGGGCTCAGTAGACGGCGGGGTGCGTCTGATGTCCGGTTTGGCACGGACTCGCACAGCCGTTCCTGTGCTGTCAGCCACCTCGCAAGGGGGTGACTGCAGCCCACTCTCCGCCGAGGACACTTGACTCATCCGCGGCTCTGTCGGACTCAGGGTGCCCCAGGACGACCCGGGAACGCCGTGGCCGCGTACCGTGTATTTTACCTTCCAGTTCTACCGCTTCCCGCCCGCCACGACCCCGCGGCTGCAGCTGCTCCCGCTGGACGGGGCCGGGAAGAGCCGCTCGGGCCCCCTGTCACACGTCCTTGTTCCCACCAGTTACCACGGCTCCTCCGAGGCTGGTGAGCCACACTTTGTCTCAAAGTCTTTCTGTTTTTTTTAAATTGTCACCTGAGGATATGTTTTCCATTATTTGTAGAGAGTGAGCGGGTGGGAGGGAAGAGGGGGAGAGGGAGAGAAACATTGATGTGAGAGCTACATCTACATTTTGCCTTCCAAATGCTTGCAATGGGGCTGGGGAACCAGCAACCCAGGTATGCGCCCTTGACTAGAAATCGAACCCGAGACCAGCTCAACACTCTAACCACCGAGCAACCCGCCAGGGCTGAAAGTTTCATTATTAAAAAATGCTGTACAATGAAAAATTCCAAACACATGCAGAATCTGAGAAACTAGTGTGCGTCACCTCCAACAGTATCGGCTGTATCCCCACCAGATCTTCTCCAGCCTGCGCTACCATTTCCTGTATTATTTCACCCGTGGTTTCCTTATGTGTATCTGAAAAACTAGAGTCTTTTTGAAAAAACAAACTCAATAATGTTATCCCACCTAAAAATTAATCACTAATATCATCAAACATCTAGCCAATGTAAAAATCTTCCCAATTTCATGCCGTTTTTTAATAGTTTGTTTAAATCAGCTCCTTGCGTGGCAGCAGGGACTCACGTCTCCTTTGTCTGTAGTTGCTGCCCCCGTCCCAGCGGTGTTTGATGGTTTCGTTGATGTGGCCACGTGCTGTCCCCAGAGTCCCCACAGCCTGCACTTGGGTTTTGCATCTCAGAGGTGCTCCCACTTTGAATATAAACCCCTTTGCATTTTGAATTCCCAGAGAGAACTTTGTCCAAAAATTAAATTTCCTTGCAAGTTGAAGTCCAGAGAAATTAAACTCCAAAATCAAGTTTTCTTGTCAATGTGAATTAAAACTCGAAGTCCAAAATTCTCAAGTTAGAGTCTAAAAAAAGTTTCTTGCAGTTTCTTATACAGCGGAGTCTCCATCAAAAGTGTCCCTGCCTGAGTGCTCCCCTGCCTGCGGTCCCTGCAGCTGGGCGTCCCGTCTCCCCCGCCCCCGATGGGCAGGCCATTCCTTAATGCAGTGGTTCTCAACCTTCTGGCCCTTTAAATACAGTTCCTCATGTTGTGACCCAACCATAAAATTATTTTCGTTGTTATTTCATAACTGTAATGTTGCTACTGTTATGAATCATAATGTAAATATCTGATATGCAGGATGGTCTTAGGTGACCCCTGTGAAAGGGTCGTTGGACTGCCAAAGGGGTCGCGACCCACAGGTTGAGAACCGCTTAAGGTCTCAGTGCCGAGTTGCTTATGAGCCTCACTTAAGAGAAATTATCTTGCGGTGGCCGGTATGCGCAGTGGTTAGAGCACCACCCCATGCACCAAAGGGTCTAGGGTTCGATTCCTGGTCAAGGGCACGCATGTGGGTTGCAGGTTCGATCCCCAGCCTGGGTCAGGGCTTGTGCAGGAGGCAACCAATCAGTGTGTGTGTGTGTGTGTGTGTCTCTCTATCTTGCCACCGACCTCCCTCCTTCCACTCGCTCTAAAAATCAATGGGGCCCTAGCCAGTTTGGCTCAGTGGATAGAGCGTCGGCCTGCAGACTCAAGGGTCCCAGGTTCGATTCCGGTCAAGGGCATGTACCTTGGTTGCGGACACACCCCCAGTAGGGAGTGTGCAGGAGGCAGCTGATCGATGTTTCTAACTCTCTATCCCTCTCCCTTCCTCTCTGTAAAAAATCAATAAAATATATATATAAATAAAAATCAATGGGAAAATGCCCTTGGGTGAAGATTAACCAAAAAAAAAAGAAAAGAGATTATCTTTTGTCAGTGAAATATGCATGCAACAAAATGTACAGTTCAAAGCATTTTTAAAATTAAGAGACTTTTAGAGCAGTTTTAGTTTTATAGGGAAGTTGAGCTGATAGTAGGGTTCCCGTATACTCCGCACCCCACAGTCTCCCCCGGTGTCATCGTCTTGCATTAGTGTGGTTGATGCGTTTGTTACAATTAATGAATCAATACCGATAGGTTGTTATTAGCAAAGCTCATAGTTTACACCAGTGGTTCTCAACCTTCCTGATGCCGCGACCCTTTAATACGGTTCCTCATGTTGTGGTGACCCCCAACCATAAAATTATTTTCGTTGCTACTTCATAACTGTAATGTTGCTACTGTTATGAATCGTCATGTAAATATCTGATCTGCAGGATGGTCTTAGGCGAAAGGGTCCTTCGACCGCCAAAGGGGTCGCGACCCACAGGTTGAGAACCGCTGGTTTACACTAAGATTTGCTCTTGGTGTTGTACATTCTACATTTTGACAGATGTTTAACATCATATATCTACTGTGACAGGCCCCAGGGAATAACTTCACCGCCCCGAGAAGTGCCCCTATAAGCTGTCCCACTCTGGTCCTCACTCCATTTCCCTCGGGCCCAATACCCCCCTCCCCCCCCCGTGTTGTGTCCTCCCCCCAGTGCTGTGTCCCTGTCCTGACCCATTTTGTCCTCCCACCGAGAGCACTGTCCTGGTTTTGAGGGGAGCAGAGGGGACTTGACTGGGGGGGCACCCACAGGGCTGAGGTGGCTGGGGGTGGGGTAGGACCGCAGCCTGGCCCAGGCCGCATGGGCTGCTGGGTAAACATTCGCCCCCTCCTCCCGGAGTTAATATTCTGCTCATCGGGGGGCTTTGTAAAGACGGTTACATTATTGATGGGAAGGGGGAATGTTTTGAATGTGGTCCCAGCATGGCTGTTCCCTGCACCTCGACTAATGGCGATTTCAGTGGCATTTTTGTCGATTTCGGATGAATGATGACGCCATGTGGGGACCATGAAGGCGGGCGCCCACCTCTTAGTACGAAGCCTGATAGTCCAGAGTGGCCCTCGCAGGGGCCTGCTCCCCGTGGGGCTGCTGCCTGAGATCCGGGGTGTGGGGGTGGAGGGTGGAGGGTGAGAGGTTGGGGGTGGGGCCGGTGGCGGTGGTTCTGGTCTCCGCTGGCGTGTGCTGAGCTCTGTGTGTGCGAGTGACGTGCAGCTTTGACAGGAGATGCTAACTGACTCCTCCCTGATTCCTGAGCCCGAGTGTGACTCCTGCAGCTGTGGGGCCCTGTCGCCCCACGTGGCCCGATCCCCAGGACTCGGGGAAGCGTCAGTCTTCATTTGGGAGGAGTTTGTTGAACGTGTTGGAAAGCAGTGTAGCCTTCGCGTGTTAATTTGGACTTGATGACGTCTTTGATTAACGTGTTTATTAAACTGTAGCTGTGACGGAAGCAGGAACTAGCATGACCAGAGCAGGAACCTCTTCACAGTGTGAGGATTAGAAATGACCCCTTGCGTTTGGACTCACTTGGGGCCTCTCGGAACAGGGCCTCCGGGCTTCCAGCTGAGGTACCTGGTGGACCCCGGGTTCCTGAGGCCCGGGGAGCGGCGCTGGTTCACCCGCTACCTGGCCGTGCAGAGCCTGCAGGTGGACGTCTGGGACGGAGACTCCTTGCTGCTCATCGGCTCGGCCGCCGTGCACCTGAAGGTAGCGGCTCCCCGGGCCGGGCGCTGTTGAGGGGCGGGGTCCTGACAGGCCGTCGGTTCCTTGGTCACAAGTTAAAAACGCCACCGAGCTCTCTCCTTCCCGGGTGACGTTTTCACGGGTCTGGTTCCCTGAGGCTGGGTCCCCTTGCTCAGTTCTCAGTGCCTCCCACGGGCTGACCAGCCAGGTGGTGTCACCTGCTCCTTCGATGGGGAGACGTCAGTCCCCTAGACAGCCCAGGCGGCCTGGTTCCGAGGGCCTGGCCCGGGGGCTGCCTTCAGTGGGCAGGGAGGGGGCCTGCGCCGGGTTCAGGATCCTGCTTTTAGAGTTCCAGCTGGATTTACAGTGGAATCCTTTCTCTAGGGCAGCCGTGGGCAAACTACGGCCCGTGGGCTGGATCCGGCCCGTTTGAAATGAATAAAACTAAAAAAAAAAAAAAAAAAAAAAAAAGACCGTACCCTTTTATGTAATGATGTTTACTTTGAATTTATATTAGTTCACACAAACACTCCATCCATGCTTTTGTTCCGGCCCTCCGGTCCAGTTTAAGAACCCATTGTGGCCCTCGAGTCGAAAAGTTTGCCCACCCCTGTGCTAGGGGCTTTCCATCCCTCATACACTAAGACCTAAGTCTGTGTGTTCATCCCTCCGGGGGCAAGGGGGCGCAGGAGTCCCAAGGCTGGGGCACAGTCTGTCCCCACGCTTCCATTTGTGTGTGAGACGCGCTAGCCAGAGGTGAGGCGGCCTTCCCGAGGCCTCACAGGGAGAGGCCCGCTGGGCCAGAGGTGACCTGTGATCCCATCATCCCTGGGGCCTCACTGCCGTCGGCTCAGGCAGAGGAGCCGAGTCGGGAAGGTCCTGACCGTGTGGGCCTCCCTCGCCCGCTCGGACCGTGGCCTCTGGAGGTCCTGCCCTCGGCTCCAGCCGCCAGGCCTCCTCCGACCCCGCGTCCCGTCCTGCGGCCCCCGGCCTGGGGGCTCTGTGCTCGGCACCCGGCCTGGCGTGTCCCTTGGCCCGTCCTGCCTGCAGGCCCGTCTTGGTTCTGAAAGGTCTGACGTAGAGATGGGGTTTGCGCGGTGTCCTGCTGCTCCGTCCCCTCTCTCCCCACGGAGGGGCTCCCGAGGGCGGCGCCCGGGTGTTGACGTGGTGGCTGAATTTGTGGAGAAGCCCGGCCGGCATCGGGCTCGGGTTCCAGGTCGGATCTGCTGGGCGGTGACGTGCCTTCTCCCCGGCAGCACCTCCTCCGCCAGGGCCGCCCGGCCGTGCAGGTCTCCCACGAGCTCGAGGTCCTGGCGACCGAGTACGAACAGGACGCACTGGTGCTGAGTGGAGACGTGACCGCGTCCGGCAGCGTCAGGCCGATCGGCGTCCACACGGTGGTGAAGGGCCTGCTGCACCTGACCTTGGCCAACGTGGGTAAGAATCCCGACGCTTCGTGTGGCCTCCGTCCTTTCCTGGCAGCCCCTCCCTCGCCTTCCCAGCTGGAGCATGAGCTCCGCAGGCAGTGGCACAAATTGTGGGCATTGTATAGGAGCAGGAGTTAGCAAAACTCTTATTAGTTTGACCACTGAGCCTGCCCTTGTCTGCCTGCCCTGCCCTTGTGCCCTGGGCCTGCCCTTGTACCCCAGGCCTGCCCTTGTCTGCCTGCCCTGCCCTTGTCTGCCTGCCCTCATCCCCTGGGCCTGCCCTTATCTGCCTGCCCTGCCCTTGTGCACTGAGCCTGTCCTTGTCTGCCTGCCCTTGTGCCCTGGGCCTGCCCTTGACCATGGAGCCTGCCTTTGCCCACCAGGTCTGCCCTGGGCCAGTTGTTTGTGCTCCTGATTTCTGGTCAGGTTTTGGGCGGTTAGTCCCCGGCCTGGCCCTCATTTGTTCGTGTGCTGTCCCGGGGCCTCTGTGACAGTCCTCAACTACAGCGACCAGGAGAGCTTTTCCTGGGAGCGCCAGCGGCAGAACTGCCCGTCTCAGAGGAGGGAGAGAAATGTTCCCGGACGTGTGTAACTTGGGGGCAGGGCCCGAGAAGCACCCCTTTAGGGCCCAGCCTTGACCTTTGCCCCGTGGTGCCCTGTGCCCCGAGAGTGGCTGGGCAGGGAGCCTGAGCCCCGATCCCCCCTCCACCTGCAGGGAGTCTGGCCTGGGGGTGGTCTGGGTGTGACTGAGGCCCCTGACCGGGGAAGAGGTGGCCTGGGCAGAGGGCCAGTGACCAGCCCACTCTGCCGCCCTGGAGGGCCCATAGCAGGACTGGGGTTCTGGGCAGAATTGAAAGCTGGACGAAACCAAGCCGGTAGAGGTTGTGGAGCTGTGTCTACCCGGAGGACTCAAGCCTCTGTTGTTGCATCGGGAATTTTCCACTCAAAACCCAGCCCGAGCGTGAGGCCCCGCCCCAGGGGCCCATCCGCAGTGTCAGCACCGGCGTCAGCACCGGCCGCGAGCCGGGCAGCGGCAGGTGCGCGCTCATTAAGGCGCCCGGTTTCTGCTGCTTGTTTACAAATGTAGCATCCAGGGCAGCTGGGAAATAGACAATGTGGAAGCAGCAAAACTCAATTAGGTTCTGGAGAAATAAACGAGCCACATGTGAGCAGCAGACGGGGCTCAGAAGCGCGCAGGACCGGGGAGCTGCAGTCCGCCGCCAGGATGGTGCGGGTTATTTCTCCGTTTAATCACGAGCCCACAATGTGCACGACTCCGGGTGCCACAATCTTATCTCCAGAAGAAAGATTAGCTCCATTACGTGTTATCTTCAATTGTCATTTTCATGCTTTGCCTGCGAGGGAGAGATAAGCTCATGGGAGAGAGTCGGAGAGACCTGCTCGCGAGGCGCCACGCAGACGCGCACGGAGCGGTTAACAAAGGACGAGCGCGCAGGCCGCACGCCGTACCTGCGTGGCCGCGCGGCGGCTTCCTGTGTATTCGTTGTAGCTTTTATTTCCGTATAAACGTGGCTGTTCTGCACCAGGCAGCAGGCACAGGCCCGCAGACGGGGTGATGGCCGGGGAGCCTCCCGGGTGACCGCAGGGTCCCCTGCCCGGCTCAGCCTCGCCCGGGCAGCGCTAAGCTTCCTGCGCTCAGACCGCGCGGGGCCTGGAGGGAGCGTCGCTGCGGCGCCCGGTCTCCGTGGATCCTTCCACGGGACCTTGTCCTCGGCCAGTGGCTTCCTGGCTTGGACAGGCTTTGCCGCCCAGCAGCCTGCTCCGCAGCGGCCTTTCCGCGTCCTTGGTCATGTCAGCGTCCCGGAGCCCGTCCTTTCCTGGACCCCAGTGTCCTGGGTGCGGGGTGGCCGCTGGTCCCGGCTGCCTCCTGGGGGAAGGGCTGCCCTGAGCCCGGCTCTGCGGTCACATCCCGTGTTCTCACGGTGGAAGGACAAGGGGTAGGGGCGTGCACCGTGTCAAGTGACCGGAGTTTGGGGTCCGCGCATTGTGGGAGCTCAGGGCTGCGAGGGGGCCCTGCGTATGGGAGAGTTCGGCTCTGGCGGCTGCTGTTGGTCCCACACGCCGCCTGTCTGAGGCGGGGAAGGAAACCGGCAGCAGTTTCCGCCGGAAAACAGCCCTGGGGAGCTCGGGTCCTGGCCCTGCGGCCCTCGGCGTTGTGCACACGTGGCTCAGCTTTTCCAGTTGATGGTGAACAAACCAGCGTCCAAGTACAAGCGCGGGAAGCCCGGGCCCTCGTCTGTCCAGGAGGGGACCGCGGGGCCCTGCTGCCCCACACGCCAAGGGGCAGTCAGCACGAGCCCGAGCCCCCAGGACGCTGGCACCTGCCCCTGCGCTGTCGGCCCGGGTCCTGACCTGCACGGTTTCCTTGGTCTCTGCGTGTCTCTCAGGCTTAGACTAGGCCGTGCTCATCGCAGTAGGTGTGGGGACCAGAGGTGGCCTGGCCTGCCTCAGGGGACCCCTCGCCGCAGGAGTGGGTGGAGAGAGCTGCGGGAGAGCCCGCCTCCCTCCGTGTGGCTGAGTCCACTGTGCCCGCAGTGAGTGCAGGTGGCATGTGCCACCTGCTGGGCAGTTGGGCAGTGGGTTCTCGGGACGGGGCACAGAGCTTGCCAAGGCCTGTGGGGCCACACCCCCTGGTGCAGAAGAAACGGTGCGGAGCCAGGAGCCTGGGCCACCTCTGAGCTGGTGGCAGGGAGGGAGGGCTTGGGGCTGGGGGGGGTGGGGCGTGCCACCCTGAGCTCCCTCTGGGTCACGTGGCTGTGGACAGCAGGGAGGGGCGAGGTGACCAGGGCAGTGCCGACGCTGGGGCCCTGGAGCAGGCTGCTGTCTCCTCCGTGCTCGGCCAGAGGGGAGGGAGGGCCAGAGGGGAGGGAGGGAGGGCCAGAGGGGAGGGTGGCTGGTGGACAGCGGGCCTCCTCGGGGGCACGTGCCCTCAGGCGCTTACTTGTGGAGATGTCTCACGTAGGCGCTTTCCGTCTAGGTCACCTGTGTGAGCAGACAGGGAGAGAGGCCAGCGCGCTGCCACCTTCCAGGTTGCGGGTCATCTCGAATGAGGGAGCCGGCCGCTTCGACGGAGGCAGCCTCCTCACTCGCGGGGCCCCGAGACGTGAGTGGGTGGGTGGGTGGTGGGTGGGTGTGATTGGCGGGTGGGGTGGAGCACACCGAGGCAGAGAGGGGCTGCACGCGTGCAGGTGTGTGAGCGTGTCGTGTGCACGCCCCTCTGGACCTGGGCGCAGAGTGGTGGCCGCCAGTGCCCCTGAGTGCCCGCCTCCCGGGCCTGCGGCCACTCGGTTCACCATGTTGGGCAGGCCCAGCGCTCTAGCCCGGGCTGGCAGCTTGGTATCGTGTAGAGAAGCTTAACCCTATGAGCGGCCTGTTTGTGGGCGGCTGTCCTCTGCGGGGAACAGGAAGTGAAGGAGAGTCAGGAGGAGCGTGGACTGAGGTCAGAACTCCTCTGACTTTTGAACTGGGGAGGGCGTGAGGGTCCAGCTCTGCAGTCACAGGAAAGAGCGACCCTGAGCTCCCGCTGGGTCACGTGGCTGCATCTGCTCCAAAAGTGAACTTTGACCTCTGGCTCCTCTGAACCTTCTAGGGGTGAAAAACGTGGTCCAGGCACAGAAGCTGGCAGATGTGGACAGCGAGCTGGCGGCCATGCTGTTCACGCCCCTGCTGCCGGGGAGCAAGGGGCCCCGGGGCGCCGTGCGGGAGGGGGACGCCGTTCGCAGGCGCAAGCTGGAGCGGATGAGGGCTGTGCGTGCGCAGGAGGCCGGCGGCGAGGGGGGCTGCCGGAGGAGCGCGATGGTGAGCACTCCCTGTTTGTCCAGCGTGGAACCAGCCTGGCCAGCGGCCCCGCTCCACTGGGAAGGTCTAAGCCTCCCAGGGAGGCCCCCGTGGAGCAGGGCCACCCCCATTTTCAAATCCCAGCAGAATGCAAGGCGCAGCTTCGGCCCGGCGTGGGAGGGCCGGCGTTGTGGGTGATGCAGTCATTTAAGTCAGAAATCGAACCTGGCCCCGCCCTTGAGTTCCAGCCCAGAGGCGGTCCGGTGGCCTTTCCCCTGGCGTCTGGGCCGCCTATGTCTAGAGGCCCGGCCTGGGAAGGCCCCCCTGGTCTCAGTCTCGCAGAGCAGCCCTGGGCCCCACTTTTTAGTGGGAGGCTCACCAGAAAGCAGCCGACCTCCAGCCTTGGAGCACCCCTGGGCGGCCAAGCCCGCGGAGTCACGGGCGAGGAGGGAGGGTTGGTGGGGACCTGCGGTGCCGCCCCACGGCAGCTGCCCGAGGTCCGACCCTGCTGGAGGCTGTCGGGCCAGACACTCCCCTCCAGGGACGCTGCTGCAGACAGGGCGCCGGCTGCCACACGGGGACCCGGCTGGGGAGCGGCACCTGTCAGTGTTGAGGGGGTTCTTTTCTCTTTTCTTGGAAACGTCTGACTCCCATTCCCCGCGGTGCCCGGAACCGGCCTCCTGGGTGTGGGGTGGTGGTGGGGGCGGCATAGTCAGTCCGGAGCTTGCAGGGCAGACCCCACCTCCCATGGGTAGAGAGCAGCCAGGAGTGCCGCAGGCGTCCGTGGAGGGACAGGCATGCCCTGCTCCGTCCCTGGAGCTGGGGCCTGGCTGGTCCTGCTCAGCCCACGGGAGTCGGGGAGGGGTGAGTCCAGGAGAAACCCGGACTTCGGGGTCGGGTGGGGAGGTGGTGGGAAACAGCCCCGAGGAGCGCGGCCCAGGATGTGGCCCTGGCTCGGGCTGGTGTCTCGCAGGCTCAACAGAACGTCCGGGCTCAGCATGCGCGGGACCTGCAGGTCATCGCCGCCTACCGGGAGCGCACCAAGGCCCAGAACATCGCCAGCGCGCTGAGCCTGGCCATCACCGTGGAGCACACGCTCTACGCCTCGCTGGGCACCGCGGAGTTCTTCGAGTTCGCCCTCAGGAACCCCCACAACACGCCGCACACTGTGACCATCGAGGTGGACAACCCTGAGCTCAGGTGGGGCCAGCTCGGGGGGGTGGGGTGGGCCGGGCCGGGCCCTCCCTCCCTCCCTGTGGGGCCTTGGGGCCCCAGGAGAACGTTCTAGCTCAGCTCTGCCTCCCGCCCAGCCTCATCGTGGACAGCCAGGAGTGGAGGCACTTGAAGGCGGCGGCCGGCCTGCACACGCCTGTGGAGGAGGACATGTTCCGCCTGCGCGGCGGCCTCGCACCCCAGCTCTTCCTGCGCCCCCGGGAGACCGCCCACGTCCCCTTCAAGTACCAAAGTTCTCTGTGGCGCAGGTGGGCCTCCCAGGGCCAAGGCTGGTCGCCAGGCAACAACGTGGGGACCGGGGGCCCTGAGCCGCCACATGGCTGAGCCTTCGGGCGTTGCCTCCGCGCGGCCTCGCACCCCGGCACCCACGCCGTGCGCGGTGGCCCGACGCCTCGTGTCCCCTGCGTGCCCGGTGGCAGGGGGGGGGTGGCAGGAAAGGCGCGGCCGTCTGAGTCTCTACTAAACCAGTCAAGAGCTTCCCAGACGTCAGAGCTGGGGCTGCCTCCCAGCCTGGCCCCTGCAGTGAGGGCTGCGCCCTTGTTACCGCCCTGTGTGCTCCCCAGCAGAGGCCAGGCCCGAGGCTTCCTGTACAGACGTGAGGAGCATGCGCACGTGTGCATGTGTGTATGTGAGTGTGCATGCGTGTGCATGTACGTGTGCATGTGTGTATGTCTGTGTGCACGTGTGTGCATGTGTGTGTGCATGTGTGCGTGTGATGGGGAGGGTGTGGGCACGGGTCTCATTGTTTGGACAGTGACCTTGAGGTCAGCTCTGTGGGATGATGGTCACCCCTTAAATGGCCTGAGGGATCCCAGGGCTCGCAGACTTCCCGGGGCTCTGCACGCACTGTGGGCAAGAGGTTAAGGGCGGAGGCGAGTCGTCAGGCCTCTGGCTCCAGGCAGAGCTGGGTTAGCGTGGGGCCCCTTCTCCACGGCTCACGCGGCCTCCCAGCCTCTGGGCAGCGAGGCCGGTTATAGCAGCCGCTGAGCATCACTGTGAGCGTCACTGTGGGGTGGCTGTGGGGTCGCTGTGAGGTCGCTGTGAGCGTCACTGTGAGGTCACTGTGGGGTTGCTGTGAGGTCGCTGTGAGCATCACTGTGAGGTCGCTGTGAGGTCACTGTGAGGTCGCTGTGAGGTCGTGAGCGTCGCTGTGAGGTTGCTGTGAGGTCTCTGTGAGGTCGCCGTGAGGTCGCTGTGGGGGTCGCTGTGAGCATCACTGTGAGGTCGCCGTGAGGTCGCTGTGAGCGCCGTGAGGCCAGGGCAGCTGTTCCGCAGTGGACTGTCCTGCAGGTGGACAGCGGTGCCTGCCCCCAGGATCCGTCCGTGACTCGCGGCTGCCGGTTGCTTTCCCACAGGCCTCTGCGGACCTGAGACCTGAGAAGGGCACGGACCCCGGATCCCCTGCGAAGGACAGCGTGATGCCCACCAGACACGCCAAGGTGCGGGCAGAGCACAGGCCTGATCTGAGGTGCACGAGGCCGTGGGGGGCGAGCCGGTGTCCTCCACGGGGACCGGGCAGTGTCATGGGTTCTGCTGGCTCTCGGGCCGCCTGGGCCCGGCCCTCCGCCCTTGCCGGCCTCCTGGAGGGAACGGTGTGGCAGGCACTCAGGGGGGGACCTTCCCCGTCAAGTGCTGCACAGCTGCTGCTTGTGTTCTCACGTTGGAGCGGTCTCCTGCCACTCACCACCATGCAGCCCTTTGGTGCTGGCGTGAGCCGCTGCCCTGTTGCCCGCTGTGCCCGCTGTCCTCGCGCTGTGCCCGTGCCCAGCATCCCATCGGGTGCAGTGGTGGGGACGTGCCCGCACCCTCCTCCCCTCTGGGGCTTCCTTCCTGCGCAGGCGGCTGTGTGCCCGCTCCCTCCCTGAGCGGCCCCGTGCCAGCTCCTGGGTGGAGAAGGGTATTCAGAAACCAAACCTGGGTGCTGGGTGTGGGCACGGGTGCCCGTCAGACACAGCTGCCGCCTGTGGGGCTGGAGGGGGGACTGTACCAGCGCCCAGGGCGGTGTGGTATCGCAGGCGTCAACGGGTATTGCGGGCGTCGTGGGTATCGCGGGCTTGTCAGCAGCCCTCCCCCTGGGTTTGTGATCCCATTTCTGCCGTGAGAAACTGGCTTCATCCTCTTCCATGTATCTACCTGTCTGCTCAGTTTGAGGACGGCCAGCCTGTGACGTGCTCCCCTGTGGCCCAGTGCTGCCCCCCGTGGCCCGGTGCTGCCCCCGTGGGCCGGTGCTGCCGGCCACAGTGGCTAGTGGTGTGTGTGCTTGTGCGTGTGCACTGAACATGTGGTGCAGCCCCCGACGGGACCCCGCAGGCCGAGGCTCCGGCGCTGCTCTGTCCTGTGCTCACACTCTCTGGAGGGACTCCTCCGGGCAGTCCTGTCACCAGCTCAGTGTGTGTGATCTGTCTGTTTCTCTTGTTTCTAACACATAGAGGTCCTTTAAACATTAACTTAGTTTTCAAGTTGAAAGCATTTACATGAATCCAAAATCAAGCTATAAAATGAGATACACGTAGGAAGAACTGGCTACCTTTCCCACCCCTTTCCCTGTGTGCACGCACATGTGTGCACATGTGTGTACATGCATGTGAACATGTGTGCGTGTGTTGTGCGTGCAGAGCATGAACGTGGCCGAAACCTTGGCAGTGGGTGCACAGAGCCCTCCTGTCCCCTCTGTCAAAGCCTCTGTGGGGACGGTGCCCATCGCGTGTCCGCCATCCCCCGTCCGTGGACTCGGAGCCCCGCTAGCCCTTGGCCGTGGCACGAGGCGCTGCACACGGCGGGTCCGCTGCCCCCTCTCCGCAGGGCTGGCCCGTCCACCGACGGCTCTTTCCAGAGCGTCCACTGACCTGCACGCACGGCCGGCGCTCTCAGCTGCTGAGTGTCGCGGACACTGCGGAGCGTGTGAGGGTTCGGTCTGAGCACTCGGTCACAGGTGCAAGTTCCGCTCAAGCAGCACGGGAGAGAAAGCCATTCCCAGTCGATGCCTCAGTGAGGCGCCAGGGCACCCACGACGGTGTGAGCGTGGGCCTGGGGCTTCTCTCCGAGCCGGGGACCGACCCGCAGGGCGACGCCTTCAGATGCAGCTTCAAAAGGCAAAACCAGACGCAGAGCTGCCGGGAGAGCAGAGGGGCCCACAGGCAGCGGGGGCACAGACTCAGGGTGTCGGGCGGGGCTGGCACAGGCGGAAGGGGGGACAATACTCGGGGGGTCGGGTGGGGCTGTGCTCAGGGGTGAGGGGGGCACATATCAATGGTGTAGGGAGGCTCCGGGAAAGATTGAAGGAGGAACAGAATCAGGGTGGGTGGGGGGCTGGGGCTGGGGGGTGACGGTTCAGGCTCGGGAAAGGTGGGGGCTTGGGACAGGGAGTGGGAGGCAAAATTCGAATGGTTGGGGAGGGGTTTGGCACAGA